TAATAGAGTTATGCAGGTGAGTCGGGGCAGGTGAAGCCCCGCGGGCTGGGCGGTAGGAGGTGGAGGAGCGCTGAGGTGCCCCAGAGCCGGCCGGCACCACGGCGCGCGTCCCCGACCGAGCGCGGAGCCTCCAGGTGAACGGAGGGGACGGCGACCTCGCGGGCAGCAGCGTGTTTCCTTCGTTCACGAAACCCGCGACGGCTCGCTGCGCTCCTTCGCGTAACAACCCTGCGGGTCCGGAGCGGCGCGTTTGGGTACGCTCGCCCTGCAAAAAACCGCCTGGGCCCCGCCAAGGAGCGGGTAGGTAAAGCAGAGGGCAGTTGGCAGGAGGGGAGCAGAAGCGCGAGGTGATAGAGGACGCGCTGGTCGTGGCTGCAGCGCGGGAGGGAGGAGAGACGGCGCTGCGGCACGTCCACGTACCCCGAACAAGCCGTATTCAAAGCATCTCCGTGGCTGCTAGTCATTAAAGCGTCATTAAAAGCTTACCCGTTGCAGCGTCTCAACTGGGTCTTGAAGCAGAAGCAGTCCCTGCGGGGCGAGAAGGTGCTGAGCGTCTCTCATGGGTGAGGGTAGGAACTCGGGCCCTCGTTTCCCCCTCGCTTAAGCACGGGGCTGGGTTTGCTGTCTGGCTTGCTCGGAGCAGGCTAACGTATCCGATCGGAGATGCTCACCCGAAAGAGTTCGCTCTCGCGATCTGCTGGTTGAGGCGTTCGCCTTGGCATCAGCAGCCCGTTAGGAGGTGTGCTGGCGCAGGCAGCCTGCTGGGCAAGTGCTTCTGTCCTTCGAAAGTGCTGGTTCTGACTTTTCTCCGCTCTCTTTTCCAGGAGAAGAGGTGTCCTCCACTCGTTTTCAGGGACGGAGACCAATAAAATCTGGCCGTACGTTTACGCTCTGCTCTGCAACAAGATCCCGCCGGTTCACACCGAAGAGGAGGATTAAACTTTTTGTGCAAGGGACCAAGAATTAATGCAACCGTGTATTTGGTGTCTCGGCGCAGCGCTGGGGCTGTGCTCAAATCGTGCACTATCTAGAGTAACTTCCCTGGGTGTACGGGATAACAGCTGTGGAAACACAGTTATAGCCGGTATCAGGATGAAAAGACCTTAAAAGGTCAAGTACTCTGGAATGAGTGTTTTTCGTTTCCAGGCTATAAAGTATTTCTGCATGTGATCCAAGTACACTGATCAATGAGGCAAACCTAGATAATGATTATATCAGGTTTACATAGCGTGTCGTGATTTCCCCACCGCCGCCGCATAAAACCCCGGTCTCCCTTTGAGTCCGTCATGTGCCATTCCATTGCTCCACAGTAGAGTTTACCGCAGATTGCGCTATACGATCTGTTTTTTTAAATTATTTTCTATTAAATTTTTCTATTAAATTTCTCTAAGGCTCTAAAATGCAAGGCTTAGCCCAGTGGGAACTGGTGAGCCACACGGAAAACACGTACACTACGAAGCTCAGGAATGTGAAGATCACATTTCCGGTGTTAATACGCATAGATGAGGAAGAATATTGGAGATGAAATTTATATTTGTGCTTTCTTCATGAAGAGAGATGAAAAAGCTGTCATAAAAAGCTGCTGTATGGCCTAGTTTGGATGAAATGATGTGACACAGAAGATCAGTAGGCTCTACGTTTGAGAAGAGTTGCACTAGTTTGTGTTAAGTTGTTTATAGCTTTTAATACTATGGGATATGGTCATATTATAATAGTTTCTCCCAAAGATTTATTTTAGTGTGTCTTTCTCTGCTGGAGAAATCAAGTCCTTCCATTTTCCTTGCTGCCTTTACACGTGAGGTCCTTCTCCCGCGGGCAACGGGGCGCTCCGTAAGGAAGCGCCCTTCCTGGGGGGCTTCGGGGTGAGGACACCTCGCGTTCCCGCGGCGGCTGGCAGAAACGGCCCTCACCCGCGCGCCGAGCCCGCTTCGCGCTGGAGGTGATGTGTGTCAGCACGCGTCTCGTCTGAACGCCTACCGTGCACCGCTTCTTCCCCCCGCCCCCCAATTTTTTGCAAAGCGAGTAAAAGTGTCCCGCTTGCTTTCCCGAGCGGTGGTCGTAGGACCCTCGGGCTTGTGTTACGTTTACCCTCCTCGGTTAGCGCTTGGCTTTCTGGTTACGGCTGGTGCAACGGGAGCGCTTGCGGCCGTCCCTTGCCAGTTCCGGCTGCAGCCCGTCCAGCGGCAGCGCGGGCACCGGCGACTCTTCCCGGGAGCCGCCGGCGGGATGAAAAGCTTTTGGTTTGGGAGCTGGGTGTCGTGGTTGGCTTTCCCAAACTGTAAACCTGTCTGGCGCGTGGGTCTTTGGTGAAGTACAGTACCTAGTTCCTGGGGGCATCTTGTTCGTCCCCTTGAGTTGCCTTATTTTATGGGCTATGTATTTAAGAAACAAGCAAGATGTGTATTTTTTAAGGTTTAGAAAAAGAGAACTGAATTTTAGCATCCCCTCTGGAGAACCCCTGACTAAGCCGCTGGCGTTGGCGCGGCTGGCTGTGGTTTGCCGCGCTCGCGATAGCTTGGCAGGGAAGCAGACGGGCTGTGGCCGTCCCGCGCTGGCCGACCCGATTAGTTAGCGCGGCCCGGGCCGGCGTCCTCCGTTGCGGAAACGTCGCTTTGTATTTTCGGTTTGGAGAGCGGCTGTGCGCCGGGGGG